AATATCTTTAACCGTGTATGCTAGCTAGGACTCAGTTAGCTTAGCACAAACTTCCTCATTGTTCTAGAACACTTTTTAACGGCTCTATAAACCGTTAATGTGACGGTTGGTCGCGATATTTCTGTGTTGCTGTACATTACCACAACCAAAGCTGAATTAAAGTTAGTGATATTATTATAAAAGTTGTTGTTTATCTTTGTCGGACATTTTGTTTTATAAGGAGATCTTAACGTAATGTGTTATTTCCAATTACAGGAAACTCTTGACATTTAAAAAATATATGTCATGTATTATTGCTACATAAACATTATATTAAAGTTTTAGTTTCGCCAACTCCGTTTCTGATATGCAATAAGACTACAAAATATGATGTATTTCCGATCTTTCCAATCTCTCTTCCCCGTCTGTGTGCGAGAGCGCGGAGCAGTTTACACACACGTTGCCGCACGCACACCATGTATACTTCGCTTCAGGGGACATTATATTGACTTACATGCATTTCCTGGAGACTTATCCTAACCTTAACCATAACCAACACATGCCTAACCCTAATCCTAAACCTAACCAAGTCTTCACCCTAAAATGAATGATTCCCCTTATGGGGACCTCCACAAGTGACTATGTAAACAGATTTAGGTCCCCACAAGTATAGTAATGCTTGACCACACACACACACACGTTCTCACTCCCATCCCGTCACATATTGACGGACGGTCAGGGCCCCTCCCCGTCGCTATATTACGTACAGGGTACCCCTTGACCGTCAGGCTTCTACAGGCAGGGCGTCCCATAGATCTTCATTGCGGACAGCGGACCCCTTGACCGTCAGGCTTCTACGGCCAGGGCGTCCCATAGACCTTCATAGACCACGTGATCAACAACAATGGCCGACCTTCGTGTTATTCTCGGTGGAAAATGCCTATTTTAAGGTTCATTTGGCCATTAAAATGCGTTTTGATGTCATTTTACGCGATTAATATGAGTTGTTATTTCTGATTATTTGTGCAGTAGATGTACATGATGTTTAGTTTGCTAGTTATGACGAAGATTACTTCATGAATGTGTACACATTCATGGTTGCTAAGGTGGTTGCTATGGACGCTGCAACAGCTCCCAGACCATGTGATCAACAACAATGGCCGACCTTCGTGTTATTCTCGGTGGAAAATGCCTATTTTAAGGTTCATTTGGCCATTAAAATGCGTTTTGATGTCATTTTATGCGAGTAATGAGTTTTTATTTCTGATTATTTGTGCAGTACATGTACATGATGTTTAGTTGGCTAGTTATGACGAAGATTACTTCATGAATGTGTACACATTCATGGTTGCTAAAGTTTTTTTGGTGGAAATGTGTTTTTTCACAACAAAGTCACCCTCTGTACTTGGACTTATTGGGAGAATCTAAAGGCAAGAATCCCAAATATTCATTTAGGTCTTTATTTTAGACCTTTAGTGTTGCCGTCTGTGAGGAAAAGAAATGGGGCTCAGAGCCTCATATTTTTAAAATCTTTTTTTCCTTCTAATTTGTTATTCTTTTCAAAATAACACACTGTTATTTGCTCACCAATAACACACAATTATCCTTGCTTTTATTTATTGGTTTAATTCCATAATCTCGGGCTTTTTTGGCGTTCGTCAGGAACTGAATTTCAAAATAAAAATAACCGGAAACAGACGTAGGCCTATAAGGGACATTTCGAGCATCATTGCGATTGTCAACATTTTTGAGTTTAGGATGGCCGAAGACACTACACTACCCATAATCCCCAGCTATCGTTTAGGACTACAGTCCCCGTGATTAATCTTCAAGGTCTGGGATTGGATGTTGGGGTGGCAGTGCGCCAAGGTTACGCCGAGCGTCAAACAGCTGTTTGAAATGGAACGAAACCACGCCAGACTATCCAAAACTGGAATCGAACGCCCCCCCAGAACTACACACTACACTATTGTGTTTCGCAAAATGTTCTATGGGACGTCTCTACTGAACATTTTCGTTTTTCCCACAATTAGAAGTTGCCAGTATTAAACACATTGGTGTTATCAAATGTAAAACATATAATTAATAAATGGGTGAAAATCGCTGTCCATAATGCGCAGCATTAATATATATCAGTAATATATACCCACATGACAGCTCATTGATACTTTGTAATTCTACTCCACTACAATTCAGAGGTTAACCTGGTATTTTTACTCCACTACACTTATTTGAGTTACTTTGCAGATTCTGATTAATGATGTGAAATATAAACAACTAGGGATGTCCCGATCACCTTTTTTTGCTCCCGATCCGATTCCGATCATTTGATTTTGACAATCTGCCGATACCGATTTTTCCCGATCCGATCTTTATGCAATGCATTAAGAGACAAAAAAGGAAAAAAAGCATTCAAGTTGTCCCTTAAGGTTATTTTTTTAATTTAAATGACAGTAGCCAACTATCCATTCTATCCAACATGGATATAGCTTATTTTGTTCACAGCAGCATTGGATCAGTTCAGTTGTGCAGCATTGGATCAAAACAAAATAAAACTTATCAGTGGTCCACCACAAAATAACCATGTAAACAAATTGAGTGCAGATAGTGCAGTAACAAAACAAAAATAACTCTACTGGAAAGAGGTAGCTTGACCAGCTTCACAAGTTCACATCAGTCACAAATAATAAAATAAAATAAAAATGTGGCTTGGTGCAGAATTCTAGCCTTAAGACTAACTAGTCTAGTAATAATGCAATGAACAACAGCAGCTTAACATAACATGAATAAACAAAGTATTATATTTCCATCTTACTGGAGTAACACAATTCAATAGTAATCAGCAGCGAACCACTTCAACACGTGTATTTCGGTGTATTCACGCCACGGCATTAATTTTGTTATTCTACAGTATTGTTGTTTTATAGTTATTTGTTAATGTAACCCAATTTGTGTTCTTTGAAATTGAAAAGGATATCGCATTGTGTTTGTTACTTTTGTTGCAGTTGTATATGTCTTAAGTATAATTTGGCTTGGCTTCCTATTTGTGGACATGCTTTTATTTTGAAGGAGAGGTAGCGCTGTTGACAGGAAGTTGTTGTTGCTATGGAAACAACGTGACGGAGATTAACGGAGAAAAGTAATATCTTCATATAAAGACAGAGAAAGTAAACGATAACGTTTATGGTTAAGTGTTAGCACCCCCCAAAGAGGCACAAGCTCTTACGTTGATATGGGAGATTTCAATAAATTCAATTTGAAAAAAAACGGTTCTTTCCACCACGCGGAACCTCCTTCTTGCAAATATTGCATCTGGCTGTTACACTGCCTTCGCTTTCAATTTTATAATACTTCCAAACTCCTGACATTTGCTCTGTCCCGACTCCCGAGTCACCAGCTTAACGTAGCCTCTCGTTAGCTTACTGCTACTATTAGACACTGCGCCCACTCTGTTGCCAGATTTGAGAGAAATACGCAACCAGGTCTGAAAATAGGCCCAAAAGAAGCAACACATACATGATGTTGTGTAATTTTAAACCAAAACTAAGGCCTCAAGATTTTAAAAATACGAGGCTCTGAGCCCCATTTATTTTCCTCACAGACGGCAACACTAAAGGTCTAAAATAAAGACCTAAATGAATATTTGGGATGTTCTTGCCTTTAAATTCTCCCAATAAGTCCAAGTACAGAGGGTGACTTTGCTGTGAAAAAACACATTTCCACCAAAAAAACGTTAGCAACCATGACATCAAAATACATCAGAGACGCATGTTGTAGTCTTATTGCATATTAGAAACGGAGTTGGCGAAACTAAAACGGCAATATAATGTGTATGTATCAATAATACATATGACATATATTTTTTAAATGTCTCCAGTACCGATAAAAAGTCCGATAACGTCGGAGCTTAACGTTACCACTGTCTTTAATAATTCTGGCCCGGGGCCCGTTTAATACCGGGGCTCGGTACCCATCCCTACATGGGGAGAGGCAGCATATTGCTAAGGACTAAATACGATGGAGGTTCTCTTCTCAGCCTTATTACCCATAGGGGATGAAAAGGAGTAAGTAAATAAAGAGGCCGGCGCTCCAGGGTCTGGTTCTGCTGTGCGTTTTTGTGATGTAACGGTAAAACATTTCAGAATTCCTCCACGGGATACCATTGTCATTGTACATCACTCAACCCGCGAAATACACACACTCAGTACATAGCTAGACCCGCAAATTTGCGGGCACAGCCAGTTGTGCGGCTGGCTAACAGCCAGCGGCAAATCTGTAGCTACGGTGTGTGTGTGTGTGTGTTTCGCGGGTTGCTAAATGTGTTGTGTGTGTTTCTGTTGACAAGGAGGTTTAATAACTGTGTGCTACACAAAACGTGCAGTCGGTTTCATTTTCATCGCTGTTTGTAGTAGAGTTAGCAGGGTATTTTTATTTTAACTCTCGTCCCAAATTCGTCCCAAAATTATTTTTTATCCTCCACTATTTTTAATTCGGCCCCGGGACGACGGGACGTCCTTAAGCTCGAGCCCTGGTCCCGAATTTTACGTCCGCTACGTTGCCTGCGTCGGCTACGCCGCTCGCCTACGAACACACCGCAAAGACTTCAGTTGACGAGTGGCAATAACTGTCCTTACCAGCAGGCAGCGGTAGTGTGTATTCGTCATTCAAAAGAGGCAACAACCGGAAGACAGACTATACACCGATATAGTCTGCGTGATATAAACAAACAACAAATAGTGTCTGGGTTCCATTTTCACTCTCTGTCGTCGATCGAAAACATGTAAACATAAAAAATAAACTCTTGCGTCCAGGTGAGATGAAAATGAAAAAGATTAACCGTCTGTGTGTGCCTTCTTAATCGTTTGTTTTGGTCCCTCACTTCCGCCTCGCTTCTCATGCACTGACTCGCTGAACAGCCAATCAGAGGGATTTCTTTGGCCGACTTTCTTTGGCCTTCTTTGGATTCAACATGTTGAATCGGCCGCGGGAGGTGTGAAAATGTGCCGTAAAGCGTAGGCGCCGCGAATGCCCGACGGCCTCTGACTCCCAAAATCGGGTAGGTGTGTCTGCCACACTCACAAAAACTGCTATAAAAATATGATATATTCACATTTTTTCCCACTTTCAAAGAGTCAGTCTTTTAAAACTACTCCAGCCTGACATACACATATGAAATATGAATTTTATTTTGGGGATTTTAACCCTTTAAATACCAGTTAGTTGAAAAAACTCCACAGTTTTTGTATTGAAAAAAACAGGTGTTCCGACTTTTACGTCAGCTACATTGCCTGCGTCGGCTACGCAGCCCGCCTACGAACACACCGCAAAGACTTCAGTTGACGAGTGGAAATAACTCTCTTTACCAGCAGGTAGCGGTAGTGTGTATAATGTGTATTTTTTTTGCAGTGTCAGATTTAAACAAAAACTCACACTCGTATTCCTGAGGCCAGAAAATGCCACCCTCACAAAAACTGCCATAAAATTATGATATATTCACATTTTTTCCCACTTTCAAAGAGTAAATCTTTTAAAACTACTCCAGCCTGACTAAAATGAATAATACAAGATCATTTTTAACCAGAAAAATATGTATTTTACAAAGATGAACATTGAATGAACACTATGTGTCTGGCTGTGAGAGTCCAGCTCAGGTCGAGCAGGGGCTGCAAATGGACAGACTGTGGTCCTGCAAACTCTTCTGTCCATGCAAAAGTGACACTGCCTCCTGCTCTTCCGTTCACGGATGAGAGGGGCCTGCAGCAGCACCCTGCAGATCTGACACCATTGTTGCAGCGGGGAAGGCGCCCTCTCTTCTTGATGTGTGGGGTCACCAGCATTTCTCCCACCTCTTCAATGAAGAGCCTCCTCCTGTATGGTTTCTGCTGCTGCCAGGATGGCTCCATTGATGTCCACAGGACTTAGGCGTTGTAATGGGAAATGTCAACCAGGTTGTGGAAGAGGGCAAGTGGCCAGCGATGTGTTCTCCTCCTGCAGGAGTAGGTGGCAACAACCTAACAAAAACATAAAACAAGACAATTTGAATAAATGATTCCAAGCATTTTCTCTCATGATGCAAATATTAATTATTTTATAGGAAAATGCTCATTTGAAAAAAACCTACATATTTCAGACAAGAATATAAGAGTAAGAATACATGTGTGCCTACCTTATCAAGGTTGTCGACACCCCCTTTGCATCGGTTGTAGTCTTTGATTATGACTGGCTTTCTCTTCATTTCGTCGCTTACGTCTGGACTGCGGTGTTTTGTGCTTAGAAGCAGCACATTCCCTGTCGAGGCATGTAAGAGACCGGTGTGTGGGTCTTCGTAAAGGCAAAGGTGGAGGAGAAGATCACTCTCGCTCTTGCCTGGAGCAATAGGGGGGAAGCTCAGGCTTGTTTCGGCGAATTGTGCAAACCAGGGCCAGTTTTCTTCTGAGCAGCTCCTCAGCCAGTGCGAAGGACGTGAACAAATTGTCACAGGTAATGATGTGTCCCTGGAGCCCCTCTGTCATCTCCAGGACCACCCTCATCCCCTGGTTGACTTCAGGACGACTGCCAGCTGCTTTGCCTGTATACACCTGCAGTCTCCAGGCGTAGGATGATTTTACATCACAGTTTGCCCAAATCTTTATACCGTATTTGGACGGCTTTTTTGGCATACTGCTTGAAGCTGCACCTGCCTCCGAATGGGACGAGCTGTTCATCCACGCAGACGTCGCTGAACAGCATCGGCAGGCGGTGCGTCCACATATCCCAGACTTTGCGCAAGGCAGCCAGCTTGTCATCGCGGCGCCGCGGGCGGGATAGCTTGTCGTCGAACCGCAGTGTTCCGCTGATTTGGTGAAACCTCTTGTGGGACATCGTGGCTCGGAAAATGCTCTGTCCCGATTTCCCACTCCAGAGGCTGAGGGTCGATTCATTTTTTGACCTGTAAACACCGGCCAACACCGACGTAGCAGAGCGTCTCAGTGTTTGTGGGAGACCAAAACACTTTACCATTTTCCATCCTGCAGCTGCTTCCTCCAACTCCCCTCCGCTCTCAGTTTCAGATGAGTCTGAGTTGGACTCTAGCTGGTCTGTTCCCACCTCTGAGGCGTCCTCCGTGGACTCTGAGGCCTCTTCTGTGTCAGCCTCAGAGTCCACGGAGGAGGATGAGGAGCCATCCTCGCAATCAGAGTGCATGATGATGTCCAGAGCTTCCTGTGTGCTGTAATGCCTCGGCATCTCCAAAAAGACTACTCCTGCACTGATAGTAATACTTATAACCATGGTTGCAGTGCATCTGCATAAAAAACTTGAGCGAGAACCAAAACAAAGTCCAATTTTGTTTTGGTTCTCGCAACTCATTGTTTTTATTATTGAATTAGATTATTATGCAGTGTGGCCTTCTAAGAGAAAAGTATTTTGAAGTTGGACACACACACACGCACACACACACAAAGAAACACGCACACACATACCATTATCCAACATCAAAAGCGACACACACATATATCATTTCAGTAGCAAGTGACCCTTGCAGAAAACAGTAAAAAGTGTGACATTTTGCTGCAGGCTTCAAAGGGTTAAAATTATCCCCATCTTATAGACAAATGTAAAAATTGAAAGCTAGAAGTCCAAAATGAAATCTTAACATAAAGGAAATCAAGAGTTTATGATAAGATAAATGTGGGGTCAAAAAAAGCATTTTCAATGGTTTTCAATGGGGCATTTTTTGCCGCTAGGAACAAATGTGTCGGTTTTTGTGTAGCTTAGCCATTTTAGGCTAATTAATAAAAACTGAGACGACAATTCAATATACAACTAAAAAAGAATATCCTCTGGCAAGTTTGAGCAATATTCATTCAACACAGCCAAAATGGCATGAAAACCTGCATGGCTGAAAAATGGCCCCAGGGACTCTTAAGGGTTAATGATATCACGATTAAAAATACAATATGATAAAAAATGTAAATGAACAAAAAACAGTACATAAATGAGCTGAAATTAGATTATATATTTTTAACTGCTATTAAAATGATTATCACATTAGTTTGTCATTAAGTATCATTAGGGATGTCCCGATCACCTTTTTTTGCTCCCGATCCGATTCCGATCATTTGATTTTGACAATCTGCCGATACCGATTTTCCCGATCCGATCTTTATGCAATGAATTAAGAGAAAAAAAAGGTAACAGATAACGGCTCAACGCGATGAACTACCTTGGCTGTTATTGTTTTGGCCTTTTCACTGTTCTGGGGCAGTTTCTCTTTCCTTTTGAAAGTCTCTGAAAGTGTCGGTTGTACTCGTCGTGTTGTTGTTGGTGTTTGTTTCTCAGGTGGCGTATTAGATTGGTCGTGTTGAACGTAGCTCTGTTCTTTCCACCACGCGGAACCTCCGCCTTGCAAACATTGCATCTGGCTGTTACACTGCCTTCGCTTTCAATTTGATAATACTTCCAAACTCCTGACATTTTCTCTGTCCCGACTCCCGACGAGTCACCAGCTGAACGTAGCCTCTCGTTAGCTTGCTGCTACTATTAGACACTGCGCCCACTCTGTTGCCAGATTTGAGATAAATAAGCAACCAGGTCTGAAAACAAGCCCAAGTATAGAGTCAGATTTGGGTCAATATTCTCGCGCGTAAAACAAGCTACTCACGAGCGGGAAATGTGCTTTTACACGCGCATAAAATGACCCTCGCGCGCGGATTAAACCCCCGCGAGCGGCTCTGCGCCCGCGAGCGGCTCTGCGCCCGCGAGCGGCTCTGCGCTCGCTCGCGAGAGAGACAGCCCTCTAGCTTGCTCGCGGGAGTGTCAGCCTCGCGGAGTCTGTCTATGCACGCGTGAAAAGTTTCTGGCACTTTGGGGCGGAGCCACTGGACTTTGATTGACAGCTGCCAGGAAACCCGGGGTTGCCAGGTTTGATAAATGCCTGAACTGCCAAGAGCCGAGCAGTGACGGCAGCAAAATCAGTTGGACGAGATTGAATGGTAAAGTTGTCCATAAAAAACTATTATATTCGTAAAGTGTACAGCTAATATATATATATATATATATGATTCTGTTTTCTTCAAGGTTGTGTCTTCCTGGTCGAATGTACTTATTGTAAGTCGCTTTGGATACAAGCGTCAGCTAAATGCAATGTAATGTAATGTAATATACATTAATTTGATATAAAACAATATATTTTTCAGTGGGCTGTGTCCGTCGAAAACTGCTAGCTACTGTCTGCTGTACGCACCTAGATTTTGCTGCCGTCACTGCTCGGCTCTTGGTAGTTCAGGCATTTATCAAACCTGGCAACTCCGGGCTTCCTGGCAGCTGTCAATCAAAGTCCAGTGGCTCCGCCCCAAAGTGCCAGAAACTTTTCACGCGCACGTAGACAGACTCCGCGAGGCTGACACTCCCGCGAGCAAGCAAGAGGGCTGTCTCGCGGGGGTTTAATCTGCGCGCGAGGGTCATTTTATGCGCGTGTAAAAGCACATTTTCCGCTCGTGTGTAGCTTGTTTTACGCGCGAGAATATTGACCCAAATCTGACTCCATACCAAGCAATACATACATGATGTTGTGTCATTTCAAACCAAAACTAAGTCCTCAGGATGACTTTAAGACGTGAACATGGTCATTTTTGTTTTGTAACATTAAATAAAATACAAATATTTTATTAAAAAAAAGACAATAATTCCCGATCCCCGATTTTTTTCTCCCGATTCCGATCTTTTGAAAATCATCGGATCGGAACATCTCTAAGTATAATCAAATTGTGAAATACTCATTATTCTGAAATGAAATCATTCTACATAATGAGTATTTAACACAGAGTTAAATATACATATTTTAACTTGCATTTTGTGTTCAAGTTCTTCACTTCTAACAAAGAAAGGGGAGGAATTGTAGGAATAAAATAACTTGTGTCATTATTTCTTCTCTTACAGGCATCTCTTCTCGCTCGGTGTTCGTACATCTAACATCTTCCCCAGGTATTCACTTCTCCTGATTGTTATCAGGGAAACCTGAATGAGTTGTTTTTCTACTTTATTAAACAGGAATACTTTTACACTCAATTCTGACTTTCAAAATGAAGATTTGGTCTTTAAAAAAACAAGAATTAGGAAATGGAATATAACAAGTAATTTATTAATCAACTTGTAATTCCCTCTTTAAATTATCCAAGTCCAGATCACATTCAAAGGCTGGATTTTAATCTGTATATTTTGGTTTGTATTAATAGCACATAAATAAACAATGTTCACAATTAAAAACATGTAATAGAGGAATATGCAATGAGAGGCCAAACACCTAAAAGGCTCATTGAGGATCTCTTTAAATACAAATATGTATTCAAAAAGGAATCTGAATACTTCTTCAATACAATTTGTATTTCACTGCAAGATTTGTGTTTGTATTTTATTCTGCAGTTCCTCGACCATCCCTTTCACCATGGGTGGAGCTGAGTCACAAAACAAGAGGTGAGATGAAGACCTCTTCATGTTCATGTCAGATCCAGCTGTTTGACAGACTTACCGGGTTCATTCTGGACATCAACGTTTTGTTCAAAGAGTTAGTTAGTTACATTTTTGAGAAATAAAACACTGATTTCTTTGATTCAAAGCATGTAGTCTTTGGTTATAAACCTCATGACATTTTGATTTGAATAACACTAACAAATGAAAAAGGTGAAACACAGTGCTGTGCTATCAGCGCCTCCTTCACTAAAAACAACATGGTAATAAAAAAAGAAGACTGCCGTAACTCCATTCACGGCAAAGTGCTGTTAGTTTCAACATCACATCAATATTCAACATTGAAACTAGCTGAACAAACCTTATCCTGAAGGGAATGCCTTTGTTCTAGCTCATAGTTAATGACTGCATTACAAACAGGAATATTGGATAAAAAATCTAGTTTAATTATTTGAAGGAAATGTGTTTTTTATGGTAAGTTTAAAAATCATAAACAACAAAAGAAACATGTAATGCAACTTCTTCTTCAATGTCTCAGCCCCTCCACAGCACTCCAAAGTGCACCGATGGGTACACACACCCCCATTTGAGAAACACTAGTCCAACTGACCTCCTTTGTCAAACATGTTTTGCTCTGGGAGGACATTTGTAACTCCATCTTTTAGTCAATAAGCTCCTGAACCTTCCACCTGTCTGTCAACGCTCCATCTCTGCAGGGCTGAGGAGGAACGAGAAGCTGCTTCTGCAAAGAGACGTGAGATCAGGAAGATGGAGTCAATGGAAGAACAATTTGCTCTCAAACGGTAAGAGTAAATGTATATGTCGAGTAGGTCAACAGAACCTTTTGAGCTGAATTGTCTTGAGAGTAAAACTATATCATTTAACACTGCTTTACTTTTCCTGCATTGTTGATTTATATCTTTTTGCCTAGTCCTTATTTTTTATTTAAATGTAATGAGATTTTTCTTTAGATTCTGGAAATATACAGAATAAAAATAAACATGTAGTGATAGTATGAATAAAAAACAAGTTAAACTCTGAACTTTAACAGGTGAAAGTACATACATAGAGTAAAGGTTGAATATATATACATTATATAAACTACATAAACACATGTATCTGGTTTCTATGTGTCATCAGTGGCAGATTGGACATGCTGATGAAAGCAGTGTGAAGTCAACACACTGGGATAAAAACACGTTTTCATTGATGTTTCATTATAAGAAATACCACAAGAAAGAAGAAGAACTGTAGGAATAAAATAACTTCTGTCTTTATTTCTTCTCCTTTTATAGGGAGTACCTCTTGAACTTTGAACCTCACCTCCCCCCCAGTTATTCACTTCTCCTGATTGTTATCAGGGAAACCCGAACGAGTTGTTTTTCTACATTATTAAACAGTAGGGGTGTAACGGTTCACAAACATTTCGGTTCGATACGTACCTCGGTTTTTTGGTCACGGTTCGGTTCGGTACGTTTTCGGTTCAGCAGAATTTTTTTTCACAAAACAAAACATATATATTTTTTTATTATTATTAAACTGTGAATAATGTATTCACTCAAATAAATACAAAATATAATAAAATAAACATTAAGGTGCAGCATTTCGATGAACTGAAATCATCTGTATCTGAACTAGTACCTAAGCAGCCAGTTTGACATTAGGACTTGCTTGTCATTGTATTTTCATGTTGTTTAAAGAAAGATGAACTTGTCCACATTGCTTGCAGAAAGGGCAGATCTGCTGGCACTAACAATGTCTCCTGCTGTGGAGAACACCCTCTCTAGGGACAGAGGTAGCACAGCCAGGTAGCGCTTTGCTAACATGGCAACATAAGGATATTTGGCGTTTGTAATAGCTTTGGCTCGGTCTGAACTCTCTGCGAGTGGTGGAGGCTTACATGCTAGTGGGAGTTGGGTTTGCACTTCAGTCTTTTTACTTTTGGTACCGGTGATATTCACGTTCGGGTGATGCCTTTTCAAATGAGTGCAAGTTTGATGTATTGCCAGCCGCGTAACCAATGTTAGTTGAACAATGCCGACAAACAGCTTTGGTTCGGTCCACCTGTCTTTGTCCGTCATCCTTGTTCGTAACTGCAAACCCAAAATGTTCCCAAACCGGAGACTTCAATGATGCTGGAGGATTTTCAGCTCAACTTTATCTGCGTTCGCCATTTTGACAGTTACTCAAATTACTGACTAAATTTGAACGCATCCCTGTGACCAGCTCTCATAGTATGCCTCTCGTCCAATGAAATGACTTGCTCGCTCTATGACGCGTTGAACCCAATGTGAGCAAATTACTCTGAATGCTGCGACGCAGCACCTGAGATTACTTCCAAGAAGTTGTTCACGTTCTCAATTGTTTACGTTTAACGATATATTCGTTCGGTACACTTCGGTACACACGTGTACCGAACCGAAGGGCCCGTACCGAATAATTTCGGTACGGGTACGTGTACCGTTACACCCCTATTAAACAGGAATACTTTTTCACTCAATTCTGACTTTCAAAATGAAGATTTGGTCTTTAAAAAAACAAGAATTAGGGAATGGAATATAACAAGTAATTTATTAATCAACTTGTAATTCCCTCTTTAAATAATCCAAGTCCAGTTCACATTCAAAGGCTGGATTTTAATCTGTATATTTTGGTGCTATTTCATTGATTTACTGATTTAGATGTTTTATTAATAGCACATAAAGAAACAATGTTCACAATTAAAAACATGTAATAGAGGAATATGCAACGAGAGGCCAAAGACCTACAAGGCTCATTGAGGGTCTCTTTAAATACAAATATGTATTCAAAAAGGAATCTGAATACTTCTTCAATACAATTTGAAATTGACTGCAAGATTTGTGTTTGTATTTTAGTCTGTAGTTCTTTGCCCGTCCCTTTCACCAGATTAAGACGAGAGGTGAGATGAAGACCTCTTCATGTTCATGTCAGATCCAGATGTTTGACAGGCTTACCGGGTTCATTCTGGACATCAACGTTTTGTTCAAAGAGTTAGTTAGTTACATTTTTGAGAAATAAAACACTGGTTTCTTTGATTCAAAGCATTTAGTCTTTGGTTATAAACCTCATGACATTTTGATTTGAATAACCCAAATGAAAAGGTGAAACACAGTGCTGTGCTATCAGCGCCTCCTTCACTAAAAACAACATGGTAATAAAAAAAGAAGACTGCCGTAACTCCATTCACGGCAAAGTGCTGTTAGTTTCAACATCACATCAATATTCAACATTGAAACTAGCTGAACAAACCTTATCCTGAAGGGAATGCCTTTGTTCTAGCTCATAGTTAATGACTGCATTACAAACAGGAATATTGGATAAAAAATCTAGTTTAATTATTTGAAGGAAATGTGTTTTTTATGGTAAGTTTAAAATTCATAAATAACCAAAGAAACATGTAATGCAACTTCTTCTTCAATGTCTCAGCCCCTCCACAGCACTCCAAAGTGCACCGATGGGTACACACACCCCCATTTGAGAAACACTAGTCCAACTGACCTCCTTTGTCAAACATGTTTTGCTCTGGGAGGACATTTGTAACTCCATCTTTTAGTCAATAAGCTCCTGAACCTTCCACCTGTCTGTCAACGCTCCATCTCTGCAGGGCTGAGGAGGAACGAGAAGCTGCTTCTGCAAAGAGACGTGAGATCAGGAAGATGGAGTCAATGGAAGAACAATTTGCTCTCAAACGGTAAGAGTAAATGTATATGCCGAGTAGGTCAACAGAACCTTTTGAGCTGAATTGTCTTGAGAGTAAAACTATATCATTTAACACTGCTTTACTTTTCCTGCATTGTTGATTTATATCTTTTTGCCTAGTCCTTATTTTTTATTTAAATGTAATGAGATTTTTCTTTAGATTCTGGAAATATATAGAATACAAATAAACATGTAGTGATAGTATGAATAAAAAACAAAAATAACACGAGTTAAACTCTGAACTTTAACAGGTGAAAGTACATACATAGAGTAAAGGTTGAATATATATACATTATATAAACTACATAAACACATGTATCTGGTTTCTATGTGTTATCAGTGGCAGATTGGACATGCTGATGAAAGCAGTGTGAAGTCAACACACTGGGATAAAAACACGTTTTCATTGATGTTTCATTTTAAGAAATACCACAAGAAAGAAGAAGAACTGTAGGAATAAAATAACTTGTGTCTTTATTTCTTCTCCTTTTATAGGGAGATCTTGATCCGTGACATCAGCCTCAGGTATTCACTTCTCCTGATTGTTATCAGGGAAACCTGAATGAGTTGTTTTTCTACATTATTAAACAGTAGGGGTGTAACGGTTCACAAACATTTCGGTTCGATACGTACCTCGGTTTTTTGGTCACGGTTCGGTTCGGTACGTTTTCGGTTCAGCAGAATTTTTTTTCACAAAACAAAACATATATATTTTTTTATTATTATTAAACTGTGAATAATGTATTCACTCAAATAAATACAAAATATAATAAAATAAACATTAAGGTGCAGCATGTCGATGAACTGAAATGATCTGTATCTGAACTGAACTGTTCCTGAGCATCCAGCTTGACATTAGGACTTGCTTGTCATTGTATTTTCATGTTGTTTAAAGAAAGATGAACTTGTCCACATTGCTTGCAGAAAGGGCAGATCTGCTGGCACTAACAATGTCTCCTGCTGTGGAGAACACCCTCTCTAGGGACAGAGGTAGCACAGCCAGGTAGCGCTTTGCTAACATGGCAACATAAGGATATTTGGCGTTTGTAATAGCTTTGGCTCGGTCTGAACTCTCTGCGAGTGGTGGAGGCTTAAATGCTAGCGGGAGTTGGGTTTGCACTTCAGTCTTTTTACTTTTGGTACCGGTGATATTCACGTTCGGGTGATGCCTTTTCAAATGAGTGCAAGTTTGATGTATTGCCAGCCGCGTAACCAATGTTAGTTGAACAATGCCGACAAACAGCTTTGGTTCGGTCCACCTGTCTTTGTCCGTCATCCTTGTTCGT